GTAAGATGTTCTCATTGATCAAAGGACAGAAATAAGTATAATGTTCTCTTATTCCAACTGATTACTGAGTTCTACAAATTGATTTGACTACTTTGGTGATTTCGTTTGACAATATTCAAGTAGAATTTAGTCGGTGTTTTGAGCTAGAAGAAATGATGTTACTTACTTTTTTAGTAATTAATCAATATATGCACTAAGTCTTCATATACTTGTGGTATATGAAACCATCTCTTAAGCGGATGCAATAGTGAAACTTTTATCTAAAAGTAATTAAAGCCCGAGATAAGAAAAAAAAGCAGATTTTTACTGCCTAGTAAGGTTAATTAATGAACGAAAATATCAGTACTGGACTCTATGCAAACTGATGATGAAAATTAGCTCTGATTCGGAGGAGTGAATATGATGTCACATTGAAAGCTCTGCCTAATTCACAAGTAGACTTATCGTGTATTCATACTTCTTCACAAAATGTATTTGATTCTCATTGTAGTGCATATTAAATTTCATACAAAAATGTAGCATTGCCAATCTACAGAGGAATAAATAAATGTGAGAAGCACAATAAACTCCATTCTTATCATTAAAATACGAAATGAATATCGATAGACACAAATCGATGATTTTATTTTACAGCATCTGAGGAGATAATTCATTAGAGTAAGAAGCATGCTACAGCTTTCCGGTATTGGTTAACTAGATGCGACAACTAGAATGTCTAGGTTCATGTCCAGTTAAGGGTAAAGGTTAAAATAAATCAGGCACGAAAAAGTCCTAATTTACTACTTGACTCGTCAGAAATAATATTATATACTCTACGTTTATTAAAACCTAATAAATAATTTTCACTTGGAAATCCTTAACTTGAATGTCATAGTGAGTTTTGAATTCGGCTGAAAAGCAACGTAGTTTAATTTTAAAGTGATATAATATTAAAGAATAACAAGAATGCACAATATCAATTCGGTCTCCATTTTATGTGACCGAAGTAAAAGTAGTTCATAGTAACATCTTACTAATCCTTAAAATCTCTCAATGTACAGATATAGTTATAACTTCAGGTTCTACTGACAAAACTGGTAGGCTAGTAGTGAGTATTGAAACAAAGTGAAACATCACATTATGTAAATACTTTGTGATGCTTTACCGTGATATCTATTAAACTTTTATAAATTCACTCATTTTCATAAAACCTGAGATTTGCACTTCTTAGGCCCTGACGCGTGGTGTTTGCTTTAGTGGCTTTCATTCTGAATTAATAGATCTGTCATAATTTGTATAATTCTGTATTCAGAAGAGGTTTATCCACCAAAGTGATCCACACAAAAGTTCAGCTGTAGGAATGCGTTACCCCCAAAGATCTTTCCTTTCATCTTGTTACTTACATATTATGTCTTCTGATGTATCAAACCTCTCATGATTAAGATAACTTACCTATATTGCAGTCTTCATCTAATTTATTTAATTTGTTACTACCTTGACTAATCGCTATCAAATTACTATTTTTCATTCTATATAACCATTCTGCTTATCTCCTTATATATTGTCGAAATTGAGTTCTACCACGGTTAGTTATGAAATATTCCTCTTTTTCCAAACTAACTTTTTATTTGTATGATTTAGAGTTTAAAGATGTTGTTACTGAGAAGAGAGGCACTTTCCTAATTGTTTTTCCTAATTTTAGCAAAGTAGATACCCGAATCTTTATTTTGGGTTTATTTATTCTTAATAAGCAGGAGGAAAAACAGATACGCAAACAAGTATCTCGTTACGTAGACGACTTTACAAACGTCTCATTAAAAACAAAAACCTCTAGTCACTTAAATACCTTCACTTTGCTAACCTCTAAAAGATGACCTATCAAATATTACAGCAAAGATTCTCAGGTAGCTATCTGCAGATAACCAGTTTTCATTATTCAGGAGAACAAAAAACATAAAATGCCCACTTCCATACAAAAATTACTTGTTTAACTTTAGGAGTATGAAGTAGTATCTGGGAGAAGTGGCATGAGTGTCTTAGTGATAGCATAAACAACCAACAGATCTTGACAGTTTTACATTCCGTTGTTATTATTGTTTTCCAGGGTTGTGTTTTTATTGAAAGCCTCACTAGACAGCTCTTATGAAAACCGTGAATACCTATGTTAGCTGTTTAACATGAAACAAACCAATATTACACTAACTGTAGAAAAAACCAAAACGCTGAGCATGGCTACAAATGATAATGGAAAATGCATGCTTTATGACCTTAAAGCAGCAATATATCTGTAAGTAGAAATAAGAGTATTTATGCACGCACATGAGAAATACTGATTTATTTAAACTTGTACGAATAAATACAATAGCACAGTTAGTGCACTCATCTACCTACTTTCATGCATTATTATAGAAGTATGATCAATAATTCAGTGAGTTCATGTAACAATAAAATAGTGTTCAGTGATTCTAGAAATATATGTATGTTCGTTCACCTTTATCGTACTCTCCCACCTTGAATAAAGAAATTAAACATCTTGGTTCCTTCTTCGATATCAACATTGGCATGAAATTAGCTTATTTTTGTAATACTCAAATAAAACACGTTTAAACAAGAAGATTGAAAAAGAAATACAGTGACATGTAAACTGAATGATGCTCACACTAGAATATATATATATGTACCGAATCAAGAAAAAATACCTACAGTTGATATACTGTTGATTAATGCGTTCAATGTTTTCTGGTTCAGAACAGTTGCAAAGTGAAGAGTTAAATAAAATTGATTTTCATCGTTAATACAACTAACACAAACGATTTCTTATGTTATCATTATTAAGATATACTAGCCAGTAATGTACAGTGGTATCAAGTACGTGAAATGCTCTTTCACTAAGCGAAATTATTACCACTGTTTGTCTGATTATTATGCAGAAACAGATAGCGACTTTCTTTATTACACAGTGGAAGAACAAATCCATTAGCTGCAAACATAGTTCTGAAAGCGATGGCAGTGTGAATACACTTGTAACACTCGGGTCTACTCTAAATTGCAACACACACCTGATTATGAATATTTACACTACCTGCTAATTTCAACAGACTTCATTAGCGAATGATTTGTTTTTGGTTTGTCAGCTATGAACATTCATAGTTACCTTGTAATTGAAACAAGTTGGTTGGTGGTTGGATACACTCCTATTGCATTGTTCAGCGAAAGTTTGTAGCACTTTTAACGGAGTTGGTGACGTGTTATTACCTCCTACTCAGTGATAATAAAACTAGCAAACCGTTTCCCTTGTCAATAGGATGTCATCATTTGGGGGACCGTGTTGAAGTCGCCTTGACTTTTCAAAACCCCAACATTGGTTGTAACCAGGCTTCAAGTGAGAGAATCAGAAATGCTAGTCAATGAAGAGATTTGAAACTTTTATGTAGCCAATGGTCAACCAAACAAACATAAGCGTACACACTAAATGTGTGAATAACTAAATCTGCTTTAATTTAACTAATTGGCTAAGTAAAGAAGAAAAACGTGTCATTGCACAACCAATAAATTGTTGCATTTGTCTAAGGCTATAACTCTATCATTTTAACATCTTCCAAGTGGAGTACTTTGATATCGAAAAGCAAAGCATGATCGAAGTTTTGTAGACTAGGTACATTGCAGCTTAAAAACCATTTCAATTAAAAATTATAATCACATCTATAGATCGTAATATCTCGAATATGGTCTAATCAGAGTACATCTACTAACATCTCTGGCCTTCTCAAATCAAAAACCAATAGATTACATGGACAATCAGAAAATAACTAATATTCTATGGTTTTATAAAACATTTTACTTTCTTAGACACACAACAACTATTCTCGAAATCAAACCCATCGTTGGTACCAAATTTACTAAGACCCTAAATCTGACATAATGGTTCTGATGACACACGCATAAAGGTTATAAGATATTTAATAGATGATCATTTGAGGTCATGTCAATAACAATGAACAAGTCAGATTTCTAGTTCACTAATTCCTAGCGTGAAATAAGTTCAAACAAATCATATGTTAAGCTAATTTTTTCCAGTAGAGCTTTTCAACTTTTCATCTTACACCCATGTTAAATTCAGTTCCTCAGTTGATATGACATTTACATTTTCGTTAATATGAAGAAGCTGTATTCCGTTATTCAACTTTTACTTGTAGATATATTAGTCTAATCTATTTCAATCTCTTTGGGATCATAACTTCATATACACAAGCTATGGTAAACAATGGGTTGACTATTCATCATTACCAAGTATCTTTTATAGCACAATTTTACATATTTCCCACAGCTAACAAACAAGAGGTGTTCTAAATCTAGTCAGAAATGTCCTTTCGGGTTACTCTCAGATTAACCATTCAAATATCTGTCAACCTGTCAGTATATATTTCATTACATGAAATCGCTTTTAGGCAAAACAGCTTCTGAACATTCATGACAATAAAGGCATTCAGAAGAAAAAAGGGAGTATCTGACTTTACCTGAGTAAACATTGATGTGAGATAAATGGAATAAAATTAGGTTCAAGTTGTATTACGTTATTAGATAATGGTTCTTCAAAAATAATGATAGTGAAGTATTCTCTCTAAACATCATTTCCCACCTATCAGCATTTATTCATTATGTTACCTAGTTAAAAGTGTTGCTCAGCCTGCATACCTGACGAAACTGTCCAGATTGTATGCAGAATCCCTTAAACCACAGCGTGATTTATAGATAATAATTTTGTCAAATCGTATTTTCTCCGGTTTACCATATGGGATCTTTAAAACAATAGTGACCAGTGGTTACCTGTTTCTTCCAAAATATTACTTCGCACCTTGTATGCTGATAACTTTATGTCTTTCTACACTGTATGTTTGCTTTGCCTTAAATAGCTTCATTTCACATATTTAGACATTCTGTATTGTTGTATGACTTTGATGAGGAAGATATATGAAAAATGGTAGTGACTATATAGAATAATAGAGTCGAAATTAGCTTACTTCTCATAGATGAGCTGACACTGAAAATAGATGCTGTATCGGAATTATTTTCGTTCGCTTGCGACATCCATGCTGGATCCAAACTCGGTCGATATGTACTGTGTCGATCGGTCAAAGGATTCATTTTAAAAGATTCACTTGTTGAGTGACATGCTGCCGGTGTAGATGAACGTCCTGCACGACGGCCATGAGATGGTCGCATGGTAGCTGAATGATTTGTATGTACAATGTCATCTGGATTATGGTATCTGTGATTTACACCATTCGCTAATCTGTTAATATTATATGCAGATCTAGTTTGTGCTAACTGATTACTTTGCGCTTGTATGGCTTGCAAATTGTCTGTAAAGAAATAACATGAAGAGATTATTCACAAGCACTGAAGAGAGGAAGTAATTTAAAATGTTAAACTGAAAAAGCATTTGAATATTGTAATAAAAGGTTACACAAAAATATTGAAGCACTTCTTAAACTGGTTAGGTTTTCCACATAACATCATACAAAAAGTTTGAAATTCATCAGAAAAAAAACGAATTTTTAGACACTGTTTAAATTACCGAGTTTTATAAGGTAATTCGACTAAAAACTGACTGTTGCTTCAGAAACCCATTCAAAAAACAACATTCATCGATACCTACCATAGATTCAATATCATGCTTCAAGAGAGGTGAAACCTGTCACGGATTTCTGAACTATAAATATCTCCGTGCTAAAACACCAGTGAATAAAACTGACTTAAAGTTCTCGAACAAAGAACTAAAAAAAGAGTTTCAAAACAAGGGAAGTATTGTTTCCGTTTGTCAGATGCCCATGAGAAAGTGAGGACAGAAAACCGATGTTAGGTAAGATTCCAAATTGAAGAGTAGGTGAACTTTGGACTGGGTTTAGTGAGCCAGATTTAGAACGTAACTGCGTGTTCTTAAGAAAATAAAAGTAGAGAAGACTAACTCGCAATATGATTTTTGCAGCATATTTTTGCAATGAAATTAAAAAATTATTCCTATGGAAACTTATGCACGCACCGTCGAAATGAACATCTTCGATTCAACACAGAAAGCAGTTATTTGTTCTGAATTCAGTGAAGAAAATGAAATTGTCAGCAGTTACTTGTGTGAGATCACGAACACAGGACTTTTGTTTAAAACCATGTCTCTCACAAGCTTACATTAAAGCTTAATTTTATGGTTAAGATTTCTAAAGAGAAAGTCACCGCTTTTTTCGGATAAAATAGGGTGTGGAGAAAACTGTTCGATACCTTTAAATTCCAAGAATTTTATGGATGCTACCATTCTGTAGTGAAGATGACGTTAAAAATCCAGTAAAACTGGATTGCAGTGGTCAAATCCCTTGGTTAACTATGACTGCTTGTGCACTTCGTAAATCAGTGATGATTGCAGATATGCAGTGTCCTTCCTTTACTAAAATAACGTTACATTATTACTACACAATAAACGACCTCCTACGTTTAAGGTTCTTCAAATTTACTATTTGCAGCCAGAAAGGAAACTAACATTTACGACCTTCACAGTGGCTCATTAAAAATTATAGTACTAGAATAAATCACTTTTTTCTAAAAAGTATGTAACTGAGCAAATTTTTTATTGTTTAAACTCTGCAATTCTTTGCATTTCGTTTTCTATGTGCCAGGCCCAATATGGTAATAAGCATAATAACTTTATCCAGACAGATATCTCAGGAATACTGAACAGAATTTTCAGCACGGTTAATTAAATATGGATGTGGATATTTTGTAACCGAAAACTGCTCAAATCATTGCATTCAGGATATACTAGACAGTTATATTGTGATGAATGAAGAAAAATCAGATTATAAAAAACTGCTTTTTTTCTGTTAAATATGGAATTTATCGGACTGAATTCTTAGCAGATCCTTGTTTAAAGTACTCATCCTCCTAAATGATATACTATTTAAAATATGCAGTAATTAAAGACACACAGTAAATAAAAATAGTTTTTTTACATAATAATAATAAATAAAATGATAACTTCACTGCCATAGTAATGCTCCATGAGAAATGTAAGCATCAAATGTAGAGTCTCCTATTCGCGTTGGTAACCCTTAAATGCAAATTATTTACCAGTAACAGAAGTGCTTTACACTAGAAAATATCCCCAAGTACAAAACCCAAAGTCTTCTGAATGGGTTCACCAGAAATCTAAGTATGTTTCGTATGCGACTCGCTCACACACACCTGGCGCTGCTCCAGGACTGGTCTGATCCAATTATTCACAGTTTATTGATATCGGGTGTGAAGTGATGAAATCCATCCAACACTTCACTGACTTGGGGAGTTACATCAACGCGAACGGGCTAGTTGCTGACAAAACATCAGCTCAGATATAGAAGGATCGTTTGGCATTCACCAACTGCTGTCATCTCTGAAGCCCATTGACGAGATATCTGACTATCTATCAAAGGACAACTATACTGCACTCTAGTCCGTTCTGCCCTGCTATACGCCTGCAAGACATGGCTATTAAAAGTAGAAAACATTAAAAGACTACGGGGTTCTGATCACAGATATCTTCATAGCATTGCTCGCGTCTGATGGAATCACTGTGTGAGCAATGTGGAAATCAGACGAAAGGTAGGAGGCAAGAAAGGCAAGTCGATTGATCAGGTTGTGAACCTCAGTCGACTGAGATGCTTCATACACGTACTGTGCATACTGAGTGAGCCGACACCTACCCCGACATGCGATAAATACCATGCCAGAGGAAGTTGGACTAGGTTGTAAGAGGGTTTAAGGTGGCCAGATCAAGATGTGGTACCAGTCAACGAAGCCTCTGACTGTTGGTCTGAGCCGTTTGAGAAGGTGTGAACTGCCTGATTGGGGCTACCCAGATGACAGGAATCAGTGGTTGATGAATCTTGGTGATATGGCTGAAAATTGGTCACAGTTATGCAGATGTATTCACTACTTGATGTCTTCTAAAGCTTGAATATTCGCACTAACTTTTATCTTGAGATTGTCTATTGTCTCACTCAACTATGTGTACTTTGATATCATCCGTTTTCTATCAACTTGTGTTTTGTTTACACCTGCAAATTTTATCTTTATGGACCGACGCTTTTCTACGCGAGTTTCCACTTTTTTTCTGCCTGTTTTTCTAAGGTAGAAACATTTAAAACAGTCTCAAGTAACTCTGTTTGCAATTCTTAACTTTGTTTATATCAGATAGCGAAATAACACCAAAATCATTCAATCAAAGTTGTTGACACTGCATGATAATTTGTAAAACTTTTCTCAACTTTTAAATCATGTAATGAAATAAAAATTTTCAGCTCTTAGAGAATGTTCGTGACTTCATAACTGACATTCCTACTTTATATTTATGTGTGAACCTGGTTATGATGGTCTGTTTCTCCTAGTCTAACTTTACAGTCACTGACCTTGCTAGAGGAGACACCTTAGTGATAAAGACTTGAATGGTGGGAATTCTGAAAACAGTCTGAATCTTCTGAAGACACTGAGCGGTAGTTTGAATATATTTTGATTGGCATTGCGTTGGTCTATCGATAGGAGGTGAAATGGTTGAACGTGTCAACCACTTCACATACTTATGAAGTTGCATCAACCTAGGTGGATAAGTGATCAGCAAACTTTCAGGATCGACACTATGAGCTTGCCCGGACTACGCCAACTTATGCCATTTAAAGAGTTTTGGTTTCCGATTACATATCAGGGGCCTGTATACTGCATTGTAGATCACTCCATTTTATTATATGTACGTGAAACATAGTCAAAAAAGATTAGGGACATGAAGTGACCACCAGTGGCTTCGTAGCATATGCCATGCTTCTTGGTGTCACGACACAATTAACATTGAAGTCAGGTGTAGAATTTTGGCAGAACAGTTGATGGGGTAGCGAGTCTTATCAATACAGGGGGCTTGGGCACGTGTTACACTTGCCTGGTTACAATCTTCTCCGCAGCGCAATGTAAGCTAAAGTAGGTTAAATATGGCCAGACTAAATATGGTATCAGGTTAAGCAGTCTTTGACTGTTAGCCTGAATCGTTAGGGGGAATGTCAACATTCCGGTCAAGATCCATGTGAGAGACAACTGGTGGTTTGAGACTCCTGATGATATGGCGAAAAATCGACCTCAGTGCGTAGATATATAATTGCGAATCACTTTCTAACTGAAAACTGTTCCAAAACTCATAATTACGTCAAGCCTTCTCGATCTCTTTTTGTGTCTTCCTACCAATTTTGATCATCTTCTTCTTCATTTCTGTATATTTCACCATTCTGCTTTCCACCTAGATTTGCCGGTATGCGGTAGGACAAAGTATACCATTACACAAGTATCCCAGGTTCCAGGCTGATCCTGACTGATGGTGCATTTTGGGGATACAATAGATGTAATAACTGTTTTGCACTGCCTTTCTTCGTAGAATTCAAGAAATGAACAGGGAAAACTGTGGTTTCTTAGCGTTTACATGCTGGTCAAAAACGTAATGTAGGTCAGTTTCACATGTTGTATACTTTGTGTGGTACAAAAAGAAATTCACGTTTTACAGAATCATAAAGGATAGTTTATGTGATTTTGTACCAACCCAGTAATTGATTTTTTTATCTGATTTTTTTTCACACTTATCCCAATTTCTCTGGACTAATCTAGCCAATATAACAGTCAACATATACCCTATGGCACAAATCATCCCATTATTCATTCAATAATTTAATGAAATTATTCATGAGAAGAAACACTAAAACATTTGCACATGTAAATGAATATCCACGCAAAGATATTCATTTGCATATTATAGGGTTATCCACTATCAAAACAGTTACAAGAAAAAGTAATTTTTATATTTCGCCTAGCAAAAAGGCGAAAGTAAAATATACAGAAAATTCTTGAGCCTCTTTTTCGATTTTATTTGACTAAGGACGATGACAACAGACTCTATGTAACATATATATAAGCATTTTATGTTCATCTTCCAAATTGTGGGTCTATTATCACTTTACAAATTTGTGTCTTTACTTTTTCCTCGATTACTTTAATATGTTTGCACTTGCATGCATCTTATACCTTGTGGTGTAGAGAATCACAACACCCTGAACGAGTGAAGCTGTATATATGTGTGCCTTTTTCTGTCTTTCTCCTTTTGAAACTACACTATCTTCATATTATTACAGAGAGAGACCTGCAGAAGCAAAAAGGTCTTCATTTGTTCCATTTTCTTCAGTGTTGCGTGTGAAATGAGAGTGAAACCTTCTTATGATCACACTGGATAAGAAACTCACCTAATTCTTTTGAATAAAAAAATTGCACCGAAAACTTCATCGTTCTGACAAACACATGCTGTAAACGATAGTTTCCTACCGCTAAACTAAAATCTAGGTGGATGGAGGCAGTTGGTTCCATGCTTTATGACACCTTCAGCAAGAGATATCTGAAGCCTAGACGAAAATAATGTCTTGATTGAGATCCCAACCAACATCATCCAGCCCACAGCTGGAGACATTACCACTGAGCTATTTAGGCTATGGTTGACCTCTTGTAGGTTTGTATTTTCCTACCGATTCCCTCCTACCAACTAACATCTATAGAAACGCATCACGGTGGCGAATCTCCTAGCTTCGTGGCCATACTACACAACGACCAACGGAATTCTCTGTACCCTCAGAACTAATTGTTTGGTATAACTACATGTTTCATTATCCTGAAGATAGTGTAATTACAAAAAATGCCTCAGACTGTTTCATATTCCTTCGAATTTTCCTCACTGCATCGTTCACATAATTGACATGAAAACATAAAATATGATGAAAATGGTGAAAAATGTTTACAAAATGGAATGAAGTACTCCTCAAGTCCACTAACTAGTAGTTTTCCTAAAAACTTTACGAAAAACTCTTCTATTTACATAAGACCAGCTGCTTATCAGTCCAAGTGTTAGATAAAAACAATACATACAGCTTTACTAGCTTCAGTAGAGTAAAAGCTATCCAGCATGCTACAACTTAGTCATCAAACACAACTTGATTATTCCACATATTTTGTCACTAAAACAGAATTCATATATTAACTCCAGGTGCTCAACAGGTACGTTTCCTCTTAACAGTGGGGCTTTTTTTCTATCACGGAAGTGCTATACATAAAATTTCCAAACCATTACATCTGGTAAGGCTAAAATATACTTAGTAGTTTAGAATATTTTTCTGTTCATGCAAAATGAACAACCTACGACAAAAACCTCAGCATAAGGTGAGAAATTGATGAGTCAAGACCTGTCAATTTTTAAGTTAAAACTTTTCATATTCACCTTTATTACTTACAGAATTGCTTGAAGCGTCTTTCGAGTCAACCTATGACTTGAAATTTCACTTGTTCATGCAACATAAAGCTAATCGAGCTTGTATTCTGTCAACATTACAGGAAATTGTGCATAAAATGATGCCTAACAATTACCTTTATTTTCATTGAATTCCATTGAGTCTAACATCATGGAATTCAGCTGGAAGCCACTTATACTGGAAGTCATCCAAGTATTATTTTTGTTGGTACAATTTCCCTTCAGTGTGTTACAGTGGTCCTGTTCAAATGTTGTTAGAGTATCGAACTCCGCTAGAGCATTTTGGATATTTTTGTTCCTTGAAATGTCATTTAGTCGTCCCATGCTAGAACATCTTTGGTGTGATCTTGCTCGTGAAAATGATCGTCGACGTTGATTACGCTTTGGATATTCCCGAATTGGAACTTAAGAAAAGGAAAATGAACAATGGTTTACATTATCTTGAGCTATCAAAAAGCAATTAGTCATGGAACTGGTTTAAATTGTGGAAAGTCCCATTAAACTAACATCGTTTAAGACTGATCTTTGATGATGAGTGAGATTTCAGATGAAAGGTTTGTAAAGTAACAATAGGGATACATTTGTATTATCAGTGGCATTTCAAAGCGATTCAAAATTTCATCTTGGTAGTCACCGAACAGCCACATGACAACATATTGTTGTTGTTTTAATTGTAATAAGGCTTGCATGAAGGCATACGGAGACATCTTCAACCTCAATTGCCACTATGAATCCGGTAAATTCATTCTAACCAGTATTTTGTATTTCCTATCCTGACACTAATTCACCATCATCCTTATATCTTTTTCATTTTCAAGATATTTTTCCCCATTGTCAAACTTCGGGATTGTTATGCTCACTTATTTTGTGTTAACAATTATATAGTAGGATTTGATTCACTGAAGTGAATGCATAATTCTCTGGGATTTCATTCATCAGTTCCAAGATAGTGCACCCGCCTTCAATACATCTACTTCATACGTAAAAGTAAACACCGAGGTAGTTCGTAAAATAAACAAGAAAGATGAAAGACTTAAAATTCAACAAAACTAATGTTAGTTAGGTTTCAGCTGTCCAAGTAGATTAGTAATTTCCCTTCGAGGTTTTCAGATCAACTCTTTAAGTGTTGAGAAAGTTTCATTTTATTTATTTACTAAAACCCAATGAGTTATGCCTTGAGTCAAGGAAAGTGGCATCTAAGTTACTATTAAAGTTAACAGTTTACGAGGTAAGGACGGCTTCATATATTAAATGAACGGAAAGTAATTCCTGTCTAAAAAGATCCAAAGATAACATCCGAAAGTTTATTCTTCATAGGATATCATTATGTCATAGGTATGAGTTAAAAAATCAATGGTTTATCTTCTATTCGCACTTTTTACATGGTAAAAGGGTTTATCATCAATAAAACAGGCATTTTAAAATAAAGTCAAGAACTTCACGCAGAAACGTAACAAATGCGACCGTATTTTCTAAATAAAATACCAAGATTTAATGAAATCAAAACAAATTGAAAATATTTGTCAAGTGATAGCAATATTCAAGAGACGTCCTTATTCATGGACTGTTGCTAAAAGCAGAACATTAAACTGTTCATGTCAAAGTTTATATTGAGAAAGCATGCACACACAGCTTACTAGGCACTAAGAAATACTGCTACATAACTTCGTACTATTCTTAGCAAACAGCACTACATGTAAATTTTGCGCTTGTTTATTGATTTTTCTTTAGAATGAAAACCTCATAGCTTGGCGTATGGTTTTTTTTCAAAATAAATTACTCTCATCAAACAGTCGGTCACCAATTGCTTCTCGCTATAATTTACCATCAGTGTAACAAATGTATTTGTAGACTTTCAAGCGAATTTTTAGGAAACCATATAGCCTATTTCACTCACCAAACTCTCGAATGTTTCGGCGTAACAATCAAAGAATAAGCATTCATATGCTGGTGTTTGCGTTCCTTCTACGTGACTTGCGTGGTCCAAAAATTTACCTCATGAAACTTTTTTTAAAAAGCGACATTTTGGGCATTAGTATTAATGCCACTGAAAAATGCGCACTTTCTCATGTTCGTCAACTTAATACGTGGTATAACTATCCAGATACTTCACGATGTGATATAATGTATTATGGAGAGATAAAGCTTATTAATATCTAGCTTCGAGTTTATGAAGATCTTACGAAATTCATTTTTATGTATCATAACATCTAATCAAAAGATGTAGTGCGGCCTGAAACTTTTCAGAAATCAGGGACTTCGTAGCTCTGCCTTACTTACACCTACGCCGTCTCATTGCAGTCTGCGTTATATATATATATATATATATATATATATATATATATATATAATCAAGTTAAATCTTGTCTGCAATATTTATCAACACTTCATGGTGCAAAATGATACAAGTGCCAAATTTATTCAGTGCATATACCTGTTATTTTATGTCAGTATGTATCTGAAAGCTGAAGATGACTATACATGATATGTGAAAATGAACTTTGACATATTCTCTTGATAGTAACATGTTGAAACGTGTTGTATACATAGACGAGATATACAAACTGTAATATATACAGTAGAAAACTAAAAAGGAACTTGATGTGTTTGGTGAAGTACTATTTCTTCTATCGTCAACACTACGTTAACAGTAAACTTATTTTATCGCTATCCAACCTTTCAGCTCAGTAATTTAATGCTACCGGTTGAACATAAGAAACTCATTTTTACTCGTAACATACATGAAGGTTAACAGTGTGCGGAGGGTAAAAATGCCCTATCTTTCCCAGTTATTGTTCACTGTTATTTAGATGAGTAATTCTGTAAACGCTTTTATTACCTATAAATCGTGAGTGATGTAAGTGTAGTTAAGAGTCAAACTTATCTAAAGCTTAAAGAATGGATTGGATTCAAGCTTTCCAACGAATTTGAAAACATAAGTTTTCAGCAATCATAACGAGTAGATCCAGAATCGATTGTGACTAGCTCATATTAACATGTAAATCGATCACAATAAACCCTTAGAAAAAAACTTGGTAGCACCTGTCATCGCTAACAGGCTATGAACTCCAAAGCTCTGGTGAAGACTCAATTGTAGCCTGTATGTTGTTTGCCTTCATTAAATAGCTTTTGTTAAAAGACTTATCCCAAAGCAGAAACACAACGTGTATTGGGCTAAAAATCTGAATGGTAACATTCAGATTCTACTTTTTGAGGATTTAGACATATATTTGTGAATGAAATACATGTCATCAATATTGAGAAAACAGTGGGCCTTCTTCCCAATAACAGGTGGTCAGATTCACCTTAAAATTCATTCCATCAATACATATATATATATATATATATATATATATATATATATGAGGAGAAGACATTTATAGTGGAGAAAAATTTTCGTTTCTGAAGAATTATTTCACTGGTACTCTCTTGCAATATATTTGATTAGGTAATGTGATTAACAATCCTATTTTGTGCACATAATTTCTAAGAGTTTGGAGCAAATGATAGAGCTGGTGCCTTGGTAACCAAAAAACAGGATAAATGAAAAAAGTATACAGGTAGGAATTTCTATAAATTAAAAGTCAGTATTATAAATTAGCGTGCAGAAAAATTTGGTAATATCTTCAAAAATTAGTTATTTCAGTTGACTTTTGTAATATTTGTAGTTAGGAGTTCAGTATAAATATTTGAAAAGTTTCTTTATATCATTTCAGACAAGATACTTCAATGCTTCGGCACTAAAAGAAATATATAGAGAAATCGCCACAGTTATTAGATCCCTTACTCAGGAACTGCATTTTTACTGTAAAGTAGCTCGACATCTATACATCACTCAGCATCATCAAAATATTTTTGTGGTATACAGACACCATACTTGATGATAATAAGTATGATTGTTCAGGTTCACAACTTTAGATTTTATGCTCTTTATGATTAAGATTGGCTTTATTGAATCAAAACCATCACTCCTCAGAAAGTGATCCGTACAAATTCCATGTAAAGCTTCATCAAACCAAAGTCTATGGCTAAAACAAAGATTATCTAGAATAATCCAAATTCTTTGGAACTATACTTTTTCAGAGTGAAACCAAAACAACTCCAAGAAGGAAAGAGCGAATTCAGTTACATCAAGCGAAAAGATAGAAAGTGTCATCAAACCATATCTAGCAATAGCGATTTAGTTTAGCGCATAATAATATTTGGCCCAGTAATTACTGTCATTTTATACGAGACCTCTGTTTTCCGTAAATCTTTTTTTAAAGAGCAAAACCATCATATTCATAATTCATTATTATAGCACTAGATACAATGTCAGTAGAATTGCTTGCTTAAGTAAAACAAAAACAAACAGTTCGATTAATGGGTATGCATAGATGATGAAGTTCTGAAATGCTTACTCAATGGATAAATACTACATTCATTACATTTGGTTATTTCGGATGCAGATGAAAGCTAATTAAAATATGGTTAATCCACTGTAAAAACGAATTCATAATGCAAGCCAACACTGTTTCATATATGCGTTAATTTCATTTATATTGGCTAAGGAATTTACTTACCAACATCTTGATCATGGAAATTCTTAATAAGATTAGCTATATCTGTATTGCTGGAAATCATAGCTTGTTCGTATGGTGTATGACCATTAAAATTCCTAATGGCTTTATCAGCACCCCGAAACAATAGCATACGAGCGCATGATTCTTGTCCAGTGTAAGCGCATATATGAAGTGGGGTATTTCCGTTTTTCGATGTTTGAACATTAATATCAGCACCATAAGCAAGCAGGATTTCTAAATGCTGCACTCGACCAAATCGACAGGCCTGTCCAAAAAAAAGAGAAAGTTAAAGACTGGATATGTGTCATACTCCTCACACAGCAGAAGAAACCATCATTTTTTCTAGCCTGTAACAAGTTCACAAGCGATTTAACCTATGCATCAGTTAAATTTAACGATTAAACCTAAGAATCATATTGCATGTAGTGCATTGTTAAAATAACTGTATTCTTAAAATTACCAAACTATTTAATTAGGTTTACTTTTTACAGAAGTAACCATAGTCTTTAATAGCACTCTTCACCAGGAATTAGTGATATGGATAAGAAGGTTCACCAATGAAGAATTTTCTTGGATATCAGGAAGATTGTAAAAACTACAGATACTTTCTTAGACTAACTGATGCTAAAACAAAAGGGAATTTTCCGTGTATAACAACTGAAATTACTTAAATCTCTATGTTTGATTTACCGTTTACTTTGCAATTTGCTGTGCTCATAGGCTGGATTTTAAAGAAAGATTATACCAACCTTTTACTAAGTGAGTCTCTTATGAAATTCAAGCCAACTATATTTTTGTTTCACATAATTGTTGTAACCCTCTGACCTGTACTACTACATCACTATTTCCGTTATCACTTTATCCTGGAAAACAGTAATTCAATGGAAGAGTGTGTAGTGCTATAAGCACGCTTGGTAGTCAAATTATCGCTATCTGAAACAAAAATGACCAGCAATATGAATGCAACAGAGGTTAATGTAATAGAGAAGGTTTATAGAAAGTCTCACTGTAGCACTTCACACTCCGATCATTTGGTTCAGGTTTATCTAAGAATAAATCCTTTGAACGAAGTCAAGACACAAAAGTATATACGCATTACAACAGACAAAAAGTGACTTCTGTGAAATCTCTTGCAGCTTCAAGTTCTCCGTTGTCACTAAGAGGAAGAATGTCTCTACGAAGTTTCATTTATTTGCTGAGAAGTCTATCCTAGATTTTTCGTCTTCTCATTTATTGATCTTGATCCATCTAGCGATAACCATATCTGTCAGAAATTGACTAAATGTTTGCATGAAGAGTGGATAATTATGATTGAGGTCAGCAACAGGGACTTTTCTGTACATGCTTTGGTAAGCTCAAAACCATAGTGTACTGTTTTATGACTAAATCGATAGAATTGCTTTTGTTTACTAGCTTCTTGTTTTCTTCGGATTAATTTCGAAGTACTGCTCGGAAAACACTTCAATCTACCAAAAAACCAACTCGTCATTTAAATATACTTAACAAGCTATTTGAAAAGTATAACATATTTCAAGTTGTCATTTCTTGACGCTTTACATCTCAATATAAGTTTATGGTTCATTCCATCCAGCAGAAAAAGGGATAGGAAATTTGCTGACGAACTTTTCAGATATAAAGAGGTCAATTTATATCTTTGTGCTAGATGCCAAATACACTTAACATCTGAAAACGTCCCATGCTGCCTTCCATAGGAACCGATGGTAGTCAGAAGTATGTAAGTAAAGCAATCAAAAGCTTCACATAGGTAAATATAACTCAGCTTGGGGTGATTTTCGTCAATAATAATTTGTTTCCAGTAGAACTTAACGAAATTTATCCAAACACTAACAAGTGATAGCAGTGAGCTTTCTGTAAAATAACGTTGCAAGTACGGAGAAACGAAATGATAACTCTGAGTGAATTTAAAAATGGATAGCATCCCGACAAACTTCAACCAATGGACATCCTTCATCCTAAAAGTGCATGTTTCACTTTACTTCAAAATCTAAGACTTCAGGAGATATGACTTAAAAGTCATCTTAGTGATATAGACTCAATATTCAAAATTTGACATTTTTATTATTCTATAACTTTATTTGATGTCTTGGTTTTTCATCTCATTGCTTTCATCGCTTGGTAAGACTGTAAATGTCCGAATCTTACCCAGATTATATACAGACATCTGAAAACACATAGCTTTGTCAGTGGATGCTAGAAAATATCACTGTATCATTATAGATGTTTATCGATTACACCGACTGTGTTTGCAATTTGACCCTTAAGTAAGGTGAAGCGATAATTTAGTACACTATATTGTATGTTAAGTAGTTTCAACTGTTGATCACATACAAAACTACCCCAATTAATTTTTAAGGTGCTTAGTAAAAGTTAATTACATTTTCGATAATACAGAATACTGGTTTAGATTGACGCAAATTACCGGAGTACAAAGTTGCCACTAAACCGACTTCTAAAAACAAAGAAGTATTGAAAACTTGGCTCTTTCGAGTTCCAGTCTCCGAAACAACAGCTAGAAGGCTGATTAAATGCCACCAGCTATCTGGAACTATCTAAATGCCACAAATCTTTATTGAATCTCATTGTTACACTAATCTGTTGAAACACTAGATCACTCCTGTTTAGAATTGGCATAATAGCCAAGTACCTATAAATCCCATATTTGTTGGATTGATTTTCCAACGGCCCTTTTATTTAGGAGTATGAAAACACCAGTTTCCTTTAAAAATGCATTGGTTTCGACTCCACATACTTTAACGTTACAGATAGGACCCGAATAAAACTTAAACCCAGATAGATTGTACTTATCTTTTATGTTTATCAGACTCACGAAAATTTTCACTTCCAAGTAAAAACGCCTAATTTGCACGTGGTAGATAAGATAACGAGTTTAGCATTGATAGCAATCAGAAAACCTACAGTCAGTATTTCTGAAGACAAAATCAAAATGCTTGTTGAGTCTTTTCAGTCTGAAGAGAATCAAAACTTAAACATAATCCACTTGATTCAGTCCCTGATAGTGACTCTATCGTTATTTTTATTATTTACAGACGATCTGCATAGGGTTCGGTTTTGAAAGTTAATATTTTTTTAAGTATAAACAGTTTGATAAGGATCAATCTATTCAGTATTTGTCTTGTTTTCAAAGAAGCTTGTTCAATAAAATACCTCTACATGATCAATGAGTTCGTTGAACAGAAGTCACCCACTGAACTGGTGAAGACGTATTAATTATTTTGAGGGTGTTGAGTTCTCTGACTTGGATGGCTTAATCGTGAAGTTTCCATTCTCATTCTAAACACCATTGTCGGCACAAACTTCAAAAAGAACTTCTGATAATGTTGTCTTATTTATGTTGAGCTAAAGAATATTGATATATGTTATGTCGACCGGAAAAATTATTGAGTGGAAAACAGTTTATGTCGACCAAAGGACGATTCCATACCTATTTGCAAAACTTCTGTCTTTTGGATCGACCTATGTGCGAAATAATGGGATTTCTGTTTATGGTCTTGGAGAAGGATAAAACTGATGATCACTGACTTCAGATGATAGAGTTCGAAGCCCATCTTAGATACAAATCCTTCAAATAAACGTTGAAGTTGTTTTACTACATGCCGTTGTTCAACTGCGCTTGTTTTGTTAGCTTCGTCTTTGAACCACAGGTGATTTAATTTTTTTATGCTGGCTAGCTTACTCTGAAATGTATAATGTTAAGTGTGATAAATAAAACCGAACAGTAATTTTGCTAGGTCGAACGTCACTTACACTCATGTGTCCGATTTTGAAACCCATTCTCATAACTGGCTTTATTAAAATTTAATCGAACTTTCAATCGAGAACAAAACAGCTGCCGAGTACCCACCAGTTCTCAGTGATTGCCCTTTCCCAATACATACTCTGAAACTCACGAAAATCTAGCACTGAATAAATTGCTAAACTATCCTGTTTCAAACTTAATTTTCTTTTTCTGCATGACATACCATGGTGCGGTGAAGTTTGCAGTTTTAGAACTTCAATTATAACGGTTGTACGCTAACTAAACTCAATGAATACAATGATGTTTTTGTGGCCAGCGATATTACTGCATTTCTCTTAAGTTGACCATAAATCGAATATTGTAAAGAAAGGTTTGGTAAGTGAAATTCGAAAATTAACTCACCTGATGTATTTCCTGGAGTCCCGCTTCATCAGAAATGCCAAGAGGGGAGTGATCAAACAGCAATCGCTCAATGCACAAGGATATCGTGTTATTCAGTACCGCATAATATAATGGTGTTAAATCCAACTTGTCTCGCGTATTTGGTGACTGACCAAGATCCAGAAGGACCTATAAGAACAAATGCCACAAAAGTGTAAAATGCCAACCAAAAACAGTGAAATACATATATATAATGAGTTGTTCTTATTCATGCCACTTAGAAAACATACGTTATCCGAAAGTAACCGATATTATATTCTCACCCATATTTGAACTCAAAATCTGAAAATTATTTTGTCCATTTCAAATACAAATTACATTTCATTATTCATTACCCTAAAGGTTAAAAATGTTTTATGTTACAGTTTAACCACTAGGAGATACAGCAAGAGTTCCCTGAGAATGCACTAAAGACATCAACCCTTTTATTAAAACTATTTGCAGTAAGCGTTAGTTTTACGAATGTTTATCATGTCTTGTTTTTCCAAATGACGAGAAACAGGTATTTTTGATTCGTATGACTTCACTATGGTGAACAGTTCACTACCATTTCAGTGGTCATAATCAAAGCGTGGAATATGCGCACAAAATGAAAGAAACTGACTTCAAGCACAAACCTGAGAAATATACAAATATGAACAATGTATTTAGCATTGACTATACCTCTGACCGATATATATGACTTTACGAAACTTAGTTAAGTGAACAAAGATACTTCAATAGTTGGTGTATATATAAACCCACTGAAAGCCTAATAGTGAAACGTGAAAAGAATCTCACAAACACCCATTTCGTTTATATGCTTCAACTCTGTTCATTTGATTTAAGGACATTATCTGCTTAACTGAAAGCAAAAATTGAAATGTGAGGCAATATTTAACATCCTAAAACTAAGAAAGTAAAATCATCACTGAAAAGACAAAAAGTAGTTCAAACCTACTACTACTACAATGATGCATATTCGTATTGGTTTAAATTGTTTTCGATTATAAATTTAAAGACAAGAAAAACATTTTTGAAGTGATGATTATTAAAAGTTATCCGAAGTAAAAGTCAGTAAATAAAGAAAAAAGATGTATATGATATCGAGGTTTCATGATCTAACCAATGACCAGCAAGAATAAATATCATGAATCAACTAGCAAAACTGGGTAAACTTGGAAAATGTCACCGTCTGAATTTTTAGAGGATACTTGTGCTTTAAAAGTAATCAAACAGTCTTCAAATTATGCTACCAAATATTTAGAAACTGTGACACAGTTTTAACTGTCAAGGTACTATCAATTTGAGAAGTGAGAATAAAACTGTATTTCCAACATGTATATAGGACAAGAGATAATACTCACTATGAATTCGGTGTGCATTTTTCTGAGATGATCTGATCAACAGAAAATGTATGCCAATCTACAGATATATCGTTCAGCTCTAATTTTCAATGCTTCTTTAAAAGAAACCTGCCTTATTATATGAAATCTCATAATAATCTACCAGTTGAAACAAAAACTATTACATCAACTACAAAGTTGTTGTTAAAAAGGATTTCCAAATAATTAGATAAAGGAAATACATACTTGCATATATAATTATAATTATGTATGCGAAACAAGTAAAAAGGAAAGATTCAGGACAGCATAACATGAAGAACATATTGTATCATGGTGGCTAGCATTATTCCCATGGATATCATACAACATTCCTAAAATAATTAACTCAATAAGAGGAGTATAAAAGTGGTTTACAGGTTAATTGTAATCATTATAAGCACCGAAAATGGTTTAGCCTTTGTATTCATTATAGAAAAACCTTTCCACTTTGCCTTTGCTAACTTGTGAGTACAATACTGAATACATTCTAAATAATTCACTATCTCTGTCAAAAAGTTATGAATGAATGGATTATCGAATGTTGACTTATTCCTGTGTTGTATATCCTAAATGTTTAATCCCTAAGTCATATACGAAAATGTTTTGGTTACATATATTAAATGTTTAGTTGTGTCCAACTTCTAATTTAAATTAATTTAGTCTTGTTCAGCTTCAAGAAACTGAAAAGATACATATGCTAGTTGATTAGTACACTTCGCAAGCAGCTAAACTGCACGGAAATTCTTATTGTTACTCCTTTTGAAATAAGTAAAGCTACATTGTCATAATGCTCACCGTTCACTTTAGCGATATAAACGTGAGAAGCTAATGACTAGTTTTGAACAGTTTAAAATGTTCGATTAAGTTGGTTCAGCTTTTTCATATAAAAATAATCAGTCACTACTAAAACAGAAACATTTATATGCCACATATTCCTTTGATAAAGGTATCCTTTACTACTTAAGTGTCTTCATTCTGTCGGTGATTGGTAGATCTATTACTGATAGGATAAGAAGAATCAGGTAATTTTGAAGCATTTATATGACCTCTAAAGGCTTTAGGCAGAGTTCAGACTAGAAACTAACAACAAACATATGCAAGTAAAAAGCTTGAGGCATATTGTCTATCTACATGACAGATCACTTTTGTCGAATTTCTGACAAGTACTACGATAAAACGAATTTCCTAACGTAGTTGACCCTAATTATGGTATTAGAGGGCGGGGTCTGATAACGTTTGAGATCCGATACGACACTCAATGAATATATGCATTTGGATAACTTAACTAAATAAGAGGAAATTAAAGAATGGTTATGTATGACTAGGACCAGTTAAATAATGTTTTCTGAAACCTACCTGTCCACAATGAGCACGAATATCTTATATTTGAGCCGCACTAATCGAGGGAAAACTGATGTGATCAGAAGGTGTAATATGAGGAATGAGCAAATGATAACGAGATTATGAAGGCAAAAATAAGCAGGTGAATGGAAAAAATTAATGATCTTGGCTTCTAAACCCATAGAGACCACAAAGAGGAATGAATAGTTTATTTCAAATGAAGTAGCAAATCCTAATCTACAATGAATTTCTTTCTATAGGCTTAAGTTACAGAATATAAGAAACGTTTCTTGAGACCCGTGAAGCTACTACAGCGATGTAAAACAATCGAAAGTTCGAATAGAGTTACAACCATACTTTGTACCATTTTACCCAGACTCCAGAATTTAGCTTCTAGTTTGTTTATGATTCCGAAGGCTCGAGATTATTTTTCCAAGGTCACTTGCGAAACCTCTTAGACGTTTAAAAACCATCGAAAAAAATTGTAACAATTAGTGAGAAAATAAAAAATGTAAGCCAATTTAGAATACTGTATAAGTGTGTGAAGTTATCTTTCTGAATTAGTCTATTTTTATCGAAGCTGTAGGAAGGTGATGAATCATTGAACTTTATCACTCTCTCATTCATTAAACAAAACAATGAATATATATGCGGATGTGTAAGAATAGCAGTGATTCACTAAATTGCTTACCTGATCAAAAACAAAACAAAGTTAACATCTTTTTCAACTATTGTGATTCTGAGAAGGATTTTTGTCTAAGTACGTTTAGCTACTCAGTACTTTTGAAACTGTCTTTGTGTTCAAGATGTGTCACAGCATGCAGTGAGTCCTGAGCAGCTTTTGAGACATCTTCAGGTCAGATATCATATATTAAACTTCATCAATAACTAAAGTAGCCGTTAAATGTGATACCTAAATGTTAAGTAAACGTTTGATGACTCTTTGTACAAAAATAGGGAACATGAAAAACGAAACTTGTGACTCCATAGCAATGTTGTATTGAGTGGGTATATTTCAGAAGCAGATAACTGAAGACACAAGTGTAACATTTAACCAACAACAAAAAATCAATTGCAGGTAATAACTGAAGCACTTGAATCAGTTGCAAATGAAACTTTATGAGAGCAATTAAAGTTAAATAGCTTAAATCAGCACGCTGTTAAACCAATGACATGTCAGACAACATTAAACTTTAAGACGAATTCTTTCTTTATGTTGTCTTATATATCAACTAATAGTACGAGTAGAAGTAACCGGATAATTAGTAATGCATTATTAAGTTTTACTGATGAACAGCTTTTGTTTTCGATAGTTAACATTATTTTATTCATAGTGTAAAGTCGAGCTGAATACTTAACTCCGTAATTCACTAAGAGAATTAGGTGACCCATGAATTAGAGTACATACCCTACTTTTACACCTGCAAAAAAGATGTAAATGCTCCACTTTAATCTTGCTTCCTTCTGGGCAATATGTACTTCAAGCGAAAATTAAAATTTAAGAGTATTTGATCTATCTGTACCGTTTTTTTAATGAACTTATAGCGAATAAGCCACTGATGATATCTTTAATAAGAGAAAGAATTTAAAATGAAAGATTTCTTAATTCATTAACGTCAGTTGCAGACGTATTTACGTCATTGTGAAAAGGTAACAATTAAAAGACATCGGCAATACATTTTGAATGACTTAAGAAATAAAGGCAAGCAGCGCTTACTTCGACAAAATAAATAAGGACGAAACTACAGTCTCAAACCTAATAAATTTCCTAATTCCCCTGATGCAAGCAATCATTGAGGCAGTTTATCATATAGAAAACAACTCATTATTTGTGATGAATGTTATATACAATGATGTTGTTTAGTTTTGGTAATATGCCGAGCAAAATTACTGCTTGTGATCATGCCAGTTGTTGGAATGATTTTTTTCCCAGGTTATTTTGTATGAATATACAGAAGACAGTTGGAACAATTTTAATATCCAAGTGTGACGAATCACTAGTGTACAAAAACTAACCATATCTACAAATGTTGATTGTATGTTTCATCATCATCAAACTAAAGGCAGCAAAATAAAGAGTATTTTTTCACTCTCTGTGAAACACAATCGGTATATAAGATGAGCTCTGACATTGAAGCTTAGTCATCACCAACTATTTGTTACATGTTTTTTAAAGTCAGGAAAGAAAGTCCACTATTTTTAAGTCCGAATGGTCTTGTGAATCAGAACATGCTTATTTTATTCATGCATATCTCTGTCGAAGAATGTAAAGACAGATAAGTACACAAAACAGTGGTACAAGATAATCAAAAACAAATTACTATAAACAGATGGGGTGATTCATATGAAATAATGACCTGTGTTTCCAAATAGTGTGAAAAACGACACCTATGACTGACAGGTAATATATGTAACTATGACAGA